TTGTTCCTGCTGACTAGACAGGACCTCTCAAAAATGCAGAAGTGGAAAGACCTCAAATAGTCCTGACAGCTGAAGCATAAATTGAGCTTCCTCCAAAAATAGGTACTTTTCCCTGTTGTTTCGACCAACTAAAGACTGGCAAAGATCCTCTTCCATCGCCATCTGCAGTTCTGACAAACATCTGTGTCTGCTCATGTATTGAGACAGAGAGGAGCAGCATGGAAATTGTGACTTACTGTGAGAAATAAAAAGATTTTGAGAAACCAAATACTGAAAAGCAGTTATAAATCACCTTTTAGTGTATTTTGTGACTATAAATGGCACTCGTGCTTGCGTGTTATTGTTAGTCGGATTTTCAGTCGGATGAAACGGCAGACTAGAACGAGGAGGGACCCTTGCACAACTGCAGTGCTTTTCACATGCTTACGTGAAGCTTAGGCTTTTATCGGAAAAAAGGTAGATGAGGCCTGTCAAAGCTGTTGCTGGCTGAGAACATCTATTCTGCAGGCTTTGGAGTTTGAGAGAGATGATGAGACACATGGAGCTGGTCTGGGTTGCAGGGTGCTTACTGAGAAGCATGGTAGGTGCTCTTTAGGGGCCAGGACAGGCACCTGCTTCATGCATGACAGCAAATTTGACGTAGAGGTAACACTACTGGAAGCTTTTCTGTATGGTTCATGCCAGGGTGCCCTCTCTTTTGTTACTAAACTCTGTCTCATGCTTCCTTTCTAGAAGCTTCTGAACCACCTTCAAACACTATGCTATGGATAATGGAAACTGACTTGGGTTTCTTCCATGAGCCTGCAGTTACCTGCTTGTTCCCGTAGCAAGGCCTGTTAGTTTTCTGAACATCTCCTACTAAAAGGCCTTAATTTTCACCATCCTTGCCCAGTTCCCGTGCCATTCCATAGTGTCTTCTTGAGAGCAAGTGTCAGAGCAAACAGATGAGCAGGATGTGGATTTTTTCATTCTGTTGTACAAATACATGCATAACGTTTAAGATGTTTGGCACTGTCTGTGCTGTCCGTGCTTAGGCTTTGGTTATGAGGGTTTACCTGGGGGAGGGAAGGAAATGTGAGGAGGTCTGTAATTCAAGATGCTCAGTGTCTGCTGAGCTGGGCAGGGGTGCTGTGGCTGTCCCCAGGGGTTGGCTGAAGGGTGGTCACACACAGTGCATAATTCTCTTGTCCTTGCACAACACAGCCTTCAACACCACTTGTGCTGGGCAGGGAGCACCACACCGAGGTGAAGGGCTCTATCGGTTCGGCAATACCTAGTAACGCTACAGATAGATTATAATTTTAAGGAAGTTGTTGTGGTGATCATTTCCCTTTCCTTTCTCGTATCTTTATTTGGCCTGCTTCTTGAAAGGTGCACTGTAGTTCCTTCAGATTTAATTTGCACAGTATCTGATGGGAGGTGTCTGACAGGAGAGCTACATCATGGGAAGCGGGGGAAACCTTGGCACTGTAGCTTCACTGTAAATAGCTCTGAGCCAGAATTACTCTCTTCAGTTCTGACTCACTGAAACACAATGTCCAAAACAATTTTTCCTAGAAATTTTTCTTACAGGAGCATTTTTTTCCCCCAGTACCTTGATAATTAAGAATAAAACCATGTTTTACTACATCATAATTTGGAAAGGAAGGAGATGGAGAAGGGATTTAAATCCACCTCTGCTCCAGGAAAGATCTTCCCCCTGCCCCAGGATGAAAATCACAGGAATGTTTCTCTGCTGTTGCACTCACAGGCTGGGCTTGACAAGAGCCATGCTTCTCCTGCGGGGCTCATTGATCCAGCTGCCCTTTGCATATTAGGACGGCATGGATGAAGGGCAGTGTTTTGTATGCAGATGTAGTAGTTACTATATTTCATTTTATTTCGGTGCTAACTTTAGCCAGTGAAGTCTGAATGTTAAACAGGGAGAAAGGAGATTACTGCAGGACCAGGTGCATTTAGCCATTGAAAGCTTTTCAGGCATCTCTGTGACAGCATTGAAAGCCAGCAGGAAAAAACATGGGAAAATAAAGGCCAGTAGCAACAGCCAAGGCAGAAGGTGATAGAGGTGATAACCTGCACTATCGCAGCCTACCCTCCTGTGGCTCAGCTCTTTTGCAATGGCACAATCCCCTGCCAGCAGTTCCCTTCTCTGGGCTTGCCACCACGTTGCACCAGCGTTTCTCCACTCCTTTTCTGCTCCCTGCTTGCTCTTGAAGTAAAACCCCACCTGTTCAGTCTTCCTTCTGTTGACCTAATGCCCCCCTAAACCAATGGTTTTTGACAGTTGTACTGGTCTTCCCTGCAATAGTGTTAATTTTCTTCACAACAGCTTCTCTGGGGCTGTTTTGGGTTTGTGACCAGAATACTTGGTAAACTAGGGATGTTTAGCCACTGGTGAGCAGTGCTTGCACAGTGCCAAAG